TGCTCTAAAATAAGAGATTTCTGGGAACAGGTTAAATTTAATATGGAGAATCGCATCTCAGCCTATTAACAATGCTGGCAGATTATTACTGCTATCTGTTTTTGCAGATAATAATGAATATTTGCATTACAAATGTGTTATATCCATGTTAGCATTAATGGCAAGAATGTCACAGCTAAGGGATGGAAATATGCAGAAAAAGCAGAGGAGGCCGTGAAATACAGCATTAAATGAAAAATTAACAACTAATTGTAAAGTTTCCAGGGGGAAGAGTAGGACAGATATGTTTATTAAAATGTGGCAGCTATTTACGGCTTCATAAATAATGTGTCTGATATCCCACAACTACCAGGGGTTTAGTATAAATATTGGAAAGATTTGTTACATGATCCTTGACACATTCTGTTTTGGAAACATTCTGAATAGCTTATCAACCAGAGAAGAAAGAAATATATATTTAGATTGTGCTGGGAAACTGATTATATTTTGTGTTTTAAGGGATATATTGTTTGTGCCATATGGTGGTATATTTATGTTTAGCATTTTATATTTTGTTGTTGTTGTTGTCGTTGTTGGACTAATAAAAACTTTTAAAACAACATATCAAAATGTGTTTATTGTGCAACTTTTCTGGTTGTTTTACTTGAGTTGCTTTTATGATAGAGGTTGAGTCTCCTTTATTCAGAATTCCAAAATCCAAAAATGTCCTCATGGGTGGCTGAGAGAGTGACACCTTTACTTCCTGATAGTTCAATGTACACAAAATTTTGTTTCATGCACAGAGATATTTAAAATATTGTATAACATTATCTTCAGGATGTGTTTATGATGTGTATATGAAACATAAATGAATTTCATGTTTAGACTTGGGTCTCGTCTCAAAGTCATCTCATTATGCACAGTCGGCCCTCCGTATCCATGGATCCTTTATCCATGGATTCAACCATCCTTGGCTTCAAAATATTCAAAAAGTGTATACCTTCCAAAAAGCAAGCCTTCATTTTGTCATTTTATAGAAGAGACACCATAATAATACCCCATTGCACATAATGGGACTTTAGCATCCCCGGAGATTGATATCCATGGTAGGATCCTGAGACCAAACCAAGGGCCCCCTGTAGATGCAAATATTCCAAAATCCATTTTTTCCCCCAAATCAGAAACACTTCTGGTCCCAAGCATTTCGGATAAAGGAGACTCAATTTTTTAAAAGTTATCTCCCCAGTTTACCAGCATTTTGAAATGGTGGCATAGCCATGTACCTCCTTCCCAGACAGACGTAGCTGTCGGTTTTTGAAGCTGATGTGTTTGTGTTTCTCCACATATTCCTCTTCCCCATGAATTCCCAGGAGGCCTGTCATTTAATATGTTCCTCTCTCTCTCTTTCTCTTTCTCTTTCATGCTTTTGCCTTCTTTTTCATTTTGCCTTAGCTAAAGCAAGTCCACAGGGATTCCTCTTGTAGTAGCATCATCAAAGTGGTACCTTTTTGAAGCAGCTCCGTTCATCTTCTTTATTAAATTAGCACACATGGCCACAGAGGCCCTGGAGACAACTCACAAGAATCATTTCTTCTATTTCTAACCAACTGAGGTGTCCCCAGTGTTGCTCAGACCCTTATGCAACACCCCAAAAAGGGGGATGATGGGAACTCTTATATTCCCAATTTTTCCCCTTTTGGACTTCTTACAAGCAAAACAGAAAGCCACCTCCTGTTTTCCCTTCCCTTTTAAATCTTAGCAGCGGTGACTTTGCCCTCTCCTGTTTTGCCATCTTTTTCTCCTGCCACAGAGAACACTTTCCCCGTTTTCTAGTTCTTTTAAACTCCCCCCCCCCCCCCGTGAGTTATGGCAGGCTCCCCTCTGCTTTTAGAGAGCATTTCAAATTGGTGGTGCAACTGGAATGGCAGTCAAACGCGGTCAATTTTTTTAGGGGGTCTCATACATTGTTCCAATATGTTGTGGCTGCTGTATTATAATTATTCAGATGCAAGTGTTAATCCCTAGGTAGCCAAAATGTCATTTTTTAAAAAATACCATATGGGATAGTAGTCACAGTGCATGCCTGAGGTTTGTAAAAGTTTATAAAATCTTTGGAAGGGGGGGGGACCTCTAAATTGGGAATTAAAGGAAGTGTTTGCTACACTTTGTTCCCTGCAAAGTGTATGCTACATACAGGCAAAAATCATGAGAAGAAACCCCAAACCACAAACATGACCAATTTTAACATTTATAATGTTTAATCATTTTTAATAATAATAATTATAATGATATTTAGTTATATCCCCGCCCCTCTGTTGAACAATTAAAATTCCATACAATATGTCATCTATCACAAACTTTTTAAATTTTGTACTTCTGTCTTTTTAAATTATTGTAACCTGCCCTGAATCCCATTGTGGGAGAAAGGTGGGATATAAAACCTTGAAATAAATTAAAAATAAATAAATAAATAAATAAATAAATAAATAGTTTTGGCAGTGAAAACGGTTGCTAGTTCTAACCTAGTTTCATAGGCAGAAATGCTTTTTTCTCTGATACCAATGTTTTCTTGGTTTTAAATGCTGCTTCTTTAGTCACTGCTTTACTGCATTACAGTTGTATCTTACACTTTTAACAGACTGTGCATAGTCCAGAGAACCTTTCTTAAGTTTAAAAACTGCATTTAACAACCAAGTCACATCAATAATCAAGCTATTGGTAAAATGTCAGAGATCACAGTCAACCTTGTATCAAAAACCATTAAAAGCGGATTGGAAGAAAAAACATCTTTACGGCTTACTTGAAGATGAGCAAAGAGATGACCAGTCATCCATCCCTAAGGAGGGAGTTCCACATTTAGGGTGATAACCCCTTTTGTCACCTTCTCACCCATTTAGCCTGTCTTGGTGGTGGGCACACAGAAGGCAAGGAGATCCATATGGGAAGAGGCAGTCTTTCAGACATCCCAGACCCAAATCATTTAAGGCTTTGTGGTGTAGCAGTTTGAGTGTTGGACTACGACTCTCGAGACCAGGGATTGATTCTTGGCTCAGCCATGAAACCCCCTGGATGAACTTGGACAAGTCACATACTCTCAGCCTCAGGGAAAAGCAATGGCAAACCCCTCTGAATAATTCTTGCCAAGAAAACCCTATGAGAGATTTGCTTTAGGGCCACCATAAATCGGAAACTGTTTGAAGGCACACTACAACAACGTAACCTGCAGCTTGAATTATAGCAGCTTATAGCAGCTTCATTTATATACTGCTTCATACCATGCTATGCAGTCTCTAAGTCTAAGCAGTTTACAACTTGTGCACAGAACTGTCCTGGAAGCCTGTGTAGCAGACATAAAAGTAATGCAATATGGCTTTTACAATGCACACCAGAAAGCAATCAGGTTGCAGCTTATGGTTTCTGAGCACTCCTCAAGGGCAGCCCAACAAAGTAAGCTGCAGGAATCTAAATGGAAAGTAGTTAAGGCATGGGTCACTGGTAGCTTGAAGTATCTTCACTACACAGGGGAAGAAATGGAGCACACACTGAAGCTGGGCAAAAGCATCCCTGACTATTGTGTCTGTCACCCAAGCATCCAGCAACAGTGCTGGACCAGAAGTCAAATTTAAAGAGTTTTTCAAATGCTACAAACCATGACCAGAATGCAAGAGGATGAATATATACACTCCGAGCAGTTCTAAGATGAGTTTCTCTTGCATCCAAAAATGCTTCTTTTTGTTTATTATCCTTTCTGCCTCCTCTTTCAGGCTCTTTCTCCTTTCCCACCTCACTTCTCTTGAACAGAAGGATGAGGCCCATCTGCTATTGTTCTTTCAGGTTCATACAACAGTGCTGCCTTCTGTTATCTCCCTGCCGATGAAATCAGCAGGTGTCGGTGCCTATTAGAAATCTTATTTGCACAAGAGGAAAAGTGCAAATTACCATTTCTCTCCTCCGCACTGGATGTCCAGGGGCTTTGAGGACAAAGGAGGAGGAGACAGATAAGTCAGGATCTTTGGCACACTGGGAAGCTTCCAAATGTAATGAGGAGTGCTCAGGTGAGAAGGTAAAAAGCAAGGCAGTGAGAAAGACAGACAAACAGGACATGGTGCAACCAACAGCCATATGTTTGATAACTGTTGGTTCTGAAGAACAAAGAAATGAAAGAGGGGGAAGAAGTGATGGAGAAAAGATGCTGTATGGGTCAACTGAGGTACTCAGTAAAAGAGCTCATGCTTTGCATACAAAAGATCCCTGGGCTTCAGTGTCTAAATAGGGCTGAGCTGCTAGACAGTGTAGAGAGTATTGCTCTAGATCAGTGTTCCCAAACTTTGGTCCTTCAGGTGTTTTGAACTTCACTTCTCACAATCTGCAGCCAGCTTGGACAACAGTCAGGATTTTTAGGTGCTGAAGTCCAAAACAGCTGTAAGACCAAAATTTGGGAATCATTGCTCTAGAATCTAGATCAGGGGTAGGCAACCTAAGGCCCAGGGGCCAGATGCGGCCCCCCAAGGCCTTTGGACAGGCCCTGGGCCGGTCCTGCCGCCGCCACTGCCCCCCACCGCCGCCCGCCATGATGATATTGATTATTGTTGTTATTGCTTGTTCTTGGAGTTTTCTTGGCAAAATCTCCACAGGGGTTTTGCCATGGCATTTCTGGGGCTGAGAGAGTGTGCGTGCATATTTTTTTAATTTTTAAAATTTTTAGTTTTTTTATTTTTATTTATTTATTTATTTATTTTTGGTGCTTCGGCCCCCCAATTGTCTGAGGGACAGCAACTCAGCCCCCAACTCAAAAAGGTTGCCTACCCCTGATCTAGATTAACCAACATTTTGATTTCATATGAGGCAGCTGCAGGTGTTCCTACTGCTGTTGTGTGCCTTCAAGTTCTTTCCAACTTATGACAACCCTCAGAACATATCATAGGGTTTTCTTGGTAAGATTCTCTCAGAGAGGGATTGCCACTGCCTTCCTCTGAGGCTGAGAAAGTGTGACTTGCCCTATGTCACCCAATGGGTTTTCATGGCAGAGCTGGGATTTGAAACCTGGTCTCCAGAGTTGTAATCCAACATTCAAACCACTACACCACACTGGCTCCATAGTTCCTATTTAACTCAACCCTTTATTTAGAACCATGAGGGCTGGCATCTTATTTTACATTTAAGAAAGTATCCATGGATCTGTTGGAGAGGAGAGGATCTGGTTTGCATGGAGCATCCCCAGGCATGGCTGTGAACGACTCGGGTCCAAAACCCAACTGTAGAAGGTAGGCTTCTCTGTTCCTTATACGCTGGTGCAGAATCCACTGTACTAGAGAAGGACTCTGATTTCTGAAGTTGTTTTTCCAAGATCTCCCCTGTTAAGGAACAGCTGTAACAGAAAATAATAGCTTTTCTCGGCCTCCACTTGTAGAACAGTAGTTCTTAGCTTGGCAGGGGGAGGAGGGGGAAATAAGACAGGCACAAGTGGAAAGCCGAATCCTCTCAGCATTGAGATAGACACGTCCTCCGCAGGGCATGGTCGAGAGATGCAAGCCCTCAGCCTAATTTGCTGGAGTTCATCTCTTTGAAGGGCTGACTGAAAGCATCCAACAGACAGTCTTAGATCCCCCCCCCCCCCCCCCCTGCCCAGCCAGACAGCTGCCTGCTATTCAGGCCTGCCAGACTTAATGCACAAAAAAGTCTCCTCTGCTGAGGGCTGAGAAGGCAGGAAGAGACAGGTTGGAAGGTCTCCCATCATCACAACCAATTTCCAACCCACCCAGATACAGGCAGAACTGCTAATGAAAGTCTACCCAGCAAGAGATGGCATGCCGCGAGCTCAAGACCTGCTGCAAAAGACAGACTCTTTTAAGGCTTCCATAGCCCAGCATCCTCTTCCCAAGGTGGCCTACTCCTGGGCTGCTTGTGAAGCCCATCGTGACCCAACCGCAGGGCCTGAGTTTAACAGTACCCTTGCACCCGTGTTTCCCAGCAACTGATGTTCAGACGCAGGTTGCCCCTGATATCTGAGAGCATCATGAAGAGCCATCGTGGCTAGAAGCTGCTGAAGACCTTTGTTGTTTCTTGTTGTGAGCCTTCAAGTCATTCCCAACTGGAAATGGTTAAGAGGTGACACGATGGACCTGTTTTAAATATTCTCATCACGAGGACATGTGCTCTCAGGTCCAAAACACATGCAGGAATAATCCATTTTGACACCGCTTTAACTGTCCTGGCTTAATGCTAGGGAATTCTGGGAATTGTGGTTTATTGTGGCCAATGAGCTCTCTGACAGAGAAAGCTCAATGTCTCGCAAAACTACAGTTTCCAGGATTCTCTAGCATTGAGCCAGGGCAGTTAAAGCAGTGTCAAACTGGATTATTTCTGCCATGGGATTTGGACCTTAGGCTGCATCCTCACTGCAAAAATAATCCTGTTTAACACTGCTCTGCTTTGGTGCCCAACAAACTACAGTTCCCATAATTCCCTAGCATTAAGCCATGGCAGTTAAAGCGGTGTCAAAATGGATTATTCCTGCAATGTTTTGGGCAAACCAACTACAATTCCCAGAATTCCCTAGCACTGAGCCAGAACAGTCAAAGCAGTGTGTTCTGGATCAACCAACTACAATTCCCAGAATTCCCTAGCATTGAGCCAGGGCAGTTAAAGTGGTGTCAAACTGGATTATTCCTGAAATGTTTAGGACAAAACAACTACAATTCCCAGAATTCCCTAGCACTAAGCCAGAACAGTCAAAGCAATGTCAAACTGGATTATTCCTGCAGTGTGTTCTGGATTAACCAACTACAATTCCCAGAATTCCCTAGCATTAAGCCAGGACAGTTAAAGTGTGAGACCTGCAGTGTGTTCTGGACCAACCAACTACAATTCCCAGAATTCCCTAGCATTGAGCCAGGACAGTTAAAGTGGTTTATTCCTGCAGTGTGTTCTGGACCAACCAACTACAATTCCCAGAATTCCCTAGCATTGAGCCAGGGCAGTTAAAGCGGTGTCAAACTGGATTGATTATTCCTGCAGTGGGTCTTCAGCTGCTTCGATCCGCAGAGGCGCACCGGCTTTCCCGGGAGTCATGCGCAGTAGAACCCGAGCGAGAGGCAGGGCCACGCCCCTCTATGCAAATCCCTTAGCCAAGGGAACCAATCAGTGGCAAGGGGTGGAGCCGAAGCCCAGGACTTGCCCGGGCATGTGGATTGCCTTTGCTTCCGGGAAAGACACGTGGAGCCTGGCTTGCTTAGGTAAGGCTGGAGGGGGAAGCAGCCCCTTATAGGGGATCTGTGGGGGGACTATTTCCCATGGGAAGGAGGAGAGCCCTGATTTGGGGACTCTGAGGCAAAGAAAGCACCTGGATCCCCTGATCTATTTTTGGCAGACCTCCCAGCAACTATGGGGGGCTTGCAGACTGCCAGAAATAGTGCAAATTGAGTCCACTTTAAGGGTTAGGGTTAGGGAATCATGGGAACTGTATTGTGGTACCAGAGCTCTCTTACAGAGAAGGCTCAGTGTCTCAGAAAAAAACAAAACAATTCCCATGATTCCCTAGCACTAACCCTAACCCTTAAAGTGGACTCAATTTGCACTATTTCTGGCAGTCTGCAACCCCCCTATTTTTAGGAGATCAGGAGTGCGTGTGTGTGAGTTTGGGTTGAATTTGGGTTTGACAGGTCTCCTAAAACCACCAGAAAGCTAACATAGATGTCTGGGTCATGTGTTGTTTGTTGTTGTGTGCCTTCAAGTCATTTCTTTCTCTTTTTTTAAAAAAAATATTGTTGTTATTATTATTATTTGGAGTATTATTTATTTATATTATTATTTATATACGATTGTCCATCCATTCATCTGTTATAGCAACCATATCTTTTTACAGCATCTCCATCACCATCATCCTCTCAATCCCTATCCCCAATTAAAAAAAAAACTATCCTACTAAATACAATATTCTTAATATAATAACTAAACACTCCTCCTTATACCTAAACCTAGATCACTACCTATATCTGTACCTCTGCATACCTCTAACTACCCCTATATGAAACCTGCTCCTAAAAGATACCCCTATCAATTTATCCCATATATACTCCTTCTCTGTCCTTTTATTTTTCCCCTTGTTCCTATGCTAACCACTTTCTTCCACCCATCCTTCACTCTCCTCCTAAAAGTATGTCTTCCAATTCTTATTCTTCCTCTTAACCTTTCTCTCTCTCCTATCTTTCTCTCTCCTTCTTCTCCTTTTCCTTCCATCAACTCCTCCTCCCTTCTTCACCTACACACATCTTCAACCACCTTCAAGTCATTTCTGACTTGTGACCCTAAGGTGGACCTATTCTGGGGTTTTCTTGGCAAGATCTGTTCAGAGGCGGTTTGCCATGGCCTTCCCCTGAGGCTGAGAGAGTGTGACTTGGCCAAGGTCTCACAGTGGGCTTCCATGGCCTCCTGAGTCATAGACCCAACACTCAAATCACTATGCCACTGTGGCTCATCTACACTATAGAAATTAATTGCTTTTTGGGCTTCCTAGATTCAGAGTTGTTATTGCTGAAATAATCCAGTTTGAGATCGCTTGAACTGCCCTGGCTCAGTGCTAGGGAATCCTGGGAATTGTAATTTGTTGTGGCACCAAGAGAGGAAGGCTCCTTTTCTCACCAAACTACAGTTTCCAGGATTCCCTAGGACTGAGCCAGGGCAGTTCAAGTGGTCTCAAACCGGATTATTTCTGCAGTGTGCTTTGGACCAAAGACTCGGTTTTAGATATACCACTAACAATAATAATAGTAATTTAAAAGTGGTCAAGTTATTTAAAAGGAACATAATGAATTAGAGATGGGGCAACAAAACTGGGCATCATATGAATGCCTCTTGATAAGTCTTTGCAGTCTGTCTGAGTGGTGTCAGTGAGCCAGTAAAATGAGCTTCTTAAGCCAGGGAACTCCAGAAGGGTGATGCCAACCATCAAGTCCTGAATGCCATCCATTTCACCTCCTTTGGTGGCACAGTTATCCCTTTTGAGCCATCCTATGGCATATCGGGAGCCAGCATGGTGTAGTGGTTTGAACATTGGGACTATGACTCTGGAGACCACGATTCGAATCCTGGCTATTGGGTGACATTGGCCATTCTCTCTCAACCTCAGAGAATGACAATGCCCCCCCCCAAAAAAAAACTTGCCAAGAAAACCCTGTTATAGGGTTGCCATAAGTTGGAAACAATTTGAAGGCACACAACAACAGTGGCATGGGACCTAAAGCAGGCTTTATGTGGCCAAGATTGTTATTCTCCTTGAATGCCAGTGAGAGCCAAGAGATAAAATAGTGGCTCAGTGAACAGAATTGATTTTCTGTTGCACCCCACAGATCATATACTTGCATCTGTATGTATAAATTTATTGTAGATGAATTCTAATATGCCTCTTGAAAACTGGCTGGAAGAGGGGAACAAAGACCTGGTTAAGAGCAACCAAGTGGCATTCCTATTTTACAGATGAAGAGCACTGAGGTTGAGAGATAATCAATTAACACAAAGCCCTCAGGCTTTTAAAAAATCCTTTTGCTCTTGTTAAAGTTAGAAACCCTTGAAAGATCCAGATATCCTGATCTGTATTCCACTCACCCCTGCCCGAATCCATAGGGAGGTTTTTGTGGAAGAAGGCATCCTTTCAAATGTTTTCTCTCCACATTGCTGTTCCACTGATGTAGATAATACTGACACTGGTTTAGATAATACATCATTTCCCTTCTCTGTTGTGGCTCTCTGGCTTCTCATACTTGAGTTAGCATCTTTCCCACACCCACGTTCCTGACCCTACTGCCTCTTCTTTTGTCAGGCTGTTGTCCAAACCATTTCCCCAGGGAGATAGTCCCAGAAAAGTGGACCAAGTAGGTAGCTTGAGGATGGATGGACAGGTACTCAAATGCTCCTGTTCCAGCTGGAGCCCAAACCACATTCTACATGAAGCTCATGAGGATAGTCCAAGTGCCAGCCAGAGTAAAAAGAAAAGTCGGAAACACCAGCGCTTCACAATGCGAAGAGCCTTAGAGCAGAAAGGACACCTAGGAACCAGATCGAGGGAGAAGATCCTGTTGAGGACCTTAGATGCCTA